ACTACACCAAATCTGGATGATATGATTTTTACCACGACAACTCGGTTATCCAAATATCATCCAAGGGCCTGACATAAATTAAACACATATTTCTCTTCCGATAATTTAATATAGATTTCAAAAACTAGAAAACAATTCACACACTTTTTCCAAAATTAAAGATCCCACACCAATAACAAATAAATCTGACGTAATCTACAAAATCAATTGTTTAAACTGTCCGGCAACTTACATCGGTCTTACATACCAATATCTACACAAGAGAGTAAAGCAACATATCTATGATCGCAAAAAAACCCAAGCAAAATCCTACAGTACTCGCTACCCACTTTTGATAACACTAACACAATTTCAACTTTAACAATCCAAATATATTACACACAGAACAAAACAAGCATAAACGTAACTTTTTAGAAATGGTTTACACCAACAGAAATAAACACAGCATCAATTACAGAACAGACACATGTAAACTGAGTCGCAGCAACGGCAATATATTCATCAAATTCAATATCGATAACAAAAATCATCATCACATCACACAAACCATATAAAACATTCATCACATTTCACACTTCAAACATTTCTACTTAGTCTAATTTTTCAACAATTTAGCTTTACTTTCCCTAATTATCCCCGTCTATATAATCCTGAAAGGATAATCTGGCCGAACCAATACCAACATTCTTTTTACCCATCGTCGGCTCTTTTCACCTCAAAGAACCCGACGCCTTATACAAAAATGGCTTTTCTTTACCGACTTCCTTCCCCACCCCTTCAAAATCCAACGTATATAAACATAAAACAGCAAATGACACATCTACACGAAACACAAACACTTTGAACCCTGAAGATGACCTCAATAAAGATCGAAACGTTGGCACGATAAAGAAAATGTTTTTCTGAAACCTACGTCATGCCAGACCGCATCTCACGATTTCCGAATAATCATTTTATATACCTATTCTCATTTAATATGAATTTGCAAAATAATTTCTTATCTATGTTAAAAATCTATCAATTGATAGATAATAAGCTTGAAATACGGATACAACAAAGGCAGAAAGCAATGTTTTACACAAATATTTTAATTACTTAAAATATATTGTTTCGTGTCCTCGGACTAATTAGCAAGAGTAAAAGTCTAATATTTTTCCACGTAATATCTAAAAGTTCCATTAAGATCGATGACCTCACGACCGTAATCTCCCTTTTTAAGTTATCTACTGTTTACAACAAGCTATAAAAATGTTCATGGTAACTGAACAAGTACTACTACTTAAAGGGTTGTAATAAAAAATCATTCCACATGGGACAACCCAAAAACCTTTAAAGCCCTATTTAAAATATAGATTAATTTTTGATGGGTTGTAAATGAGTATGTATATAAGCTAAAGTGAAAATCTTAGATAGTTTAGGATAAAATTAAAAAAAATTTTTTTAGTATTATAGCGTGTCCTGTAAAATCTATTTAAAAGGAATACCAAATTTTAGGATAGAGAAGAAGTGATGTTAAACAGACTGAGAATAGGCCACGCAGAATGCTAATGATCAACCCTTAAATAAGAAAAAAAACCTTCTCATCCAGGGTTCCAAAAAACCCTCTCCACTAACAGCCATCAAACATATTCTGATTCACAGTCCCAAGTATGTAACGCAACGAATTCTTCTCTTGTTCCCACTTACACATCAATAATAATTCAATACATAATTACAATAATACAGTACAATAATTCAAATGTTGCCAGGCTATGTATTTTTTATAATCTTCCACTTTAATAAACAAAGTTGAAAATTTTCAGTGCTTTTTAAGCTTGCTTTGCTTTAGCTTTCTAACATACCATTGATGCCTGAAAACAGCCAACAACTATAAGACAGAAATCATTAAAGGTTAAGCGTTTTTATTTATGTGTGGTATATAGTGGACGTTAATTAATGATTATTTGGAGATCGTGGAATGCGGTCTGGTGTGCTGTAGGTTTCAGAAAAACATTTTCTTTATCGTACCAACGTTTCGATCTTTATTGAGATCATCTTCTAGGCCGAGGATTTATAAACATTGTTTAAATTATACAAATATATGTAAGAAGTGAAAAAATGAATTTAAACTAAAAAATGGATTTCTATCCCTATTTTTTTCCCCACTCCTTCAAAATCCAACGTACATAAACAAAAAATATTAATATCTCCCTGGCACTCTCAACGCGACGCACAGTAATGAATGATACGTTTACACAGAACACTTTGAATGAGTACAAATACTTTGAGTCTAAAATTTCTATCGTTGTGTAAATACGTTTTTTCACATCTTACATGTATTTGTATTATTTAAACAATGTTTATAAATCCCAGGTCCTGAAGATGATCTCAATAAAGATCGAAACGTTGGTACGATAAAGAAAATATTTTATAAACCTACGTCACACCAGACCGCATCTCACGATTTCCAAATAATCGGTTTCAATTATCTTTATCTGCTGAGGAAAATTTGTTACAAAACAAGTTTTATAATTTTAATAATACCACACAAATCCAATAGTCTTACATCATCATCAGGGATGAGAGAAGATAAAAGTTAAAATTAGTACATCAAAATGAATTTGAAAAAATGTAATTAAAAGTTAAAAAGTGTACATTAAAAAACAGAAAACCTGTACGATTAGGGCCATCTTATATTTCATTCCGTCGCAAACCGTAAGATTTTATCGCATACGCCCTTAGAGGAGATTTTTACTAATACAATTCTCGTTTTAGGCTAGGCTTTATTATGTGGTTATATTTATAATTGAATAAACCGTCAAAAATATTTCATGTAAAAGCTGAGCAAATCGGTTATCACACAATTGTAAAAACGTTGAAAATATATATTAATTACGGTTTAATCGTAGTTGTGTTTATATATAATAAAACCTTTTATATATAATAAAAGGTTTTCCTGTGTGGAAAAAAAAGAAAAGACGAATCGATACAAGAGAGTATATTCAAAAATTAACAAGAACCACATTTTGGAAGTAGGAAGGAAACGGATATCAATAAAGTGGCGGAGCGAGGGGGCAATACAGTGAGCTTCCTCGATTTACCAGACACCAATTACTTTGAAACCCTTTTCATAAATATTTATCAGAGCTGCCTCTCACCGATCCACCTCTCCCACGGTAAATATTCATAAGTCTTCAACCGGAAGTCAGCTACGGATTAAACCTTACTTGTTCAGAACGGTTAAGAATAGCTTTAAAATTGGATACGGGCTGAGAATTACAAGAGCAGTTTGAAATGACAATTCGTAAATTGCTCATTCGATAAATAATTCACTTAATGGATAAACACGATTGAAATACAATATCACTTAATATTAAAACTTGATAAACCTGTGAAAGTTGATATTCGTTCTCATTCCAACACATATTTTTACGTAAAAACGATCTTTGCCTCTCAAGAGTTTTTTTCGAAAATCACAAAAATCGTTTTAATTTTGAAACTTCTCCACAGATCTATTTTACGCGGGTTTAGAAGCTTATCTACTGCACCAAATTGCACAAAACCAGATCTCCTAGAACCAGAGATAAAAAGGAAAAAGTTTAACTAGCTTTGGCAGTCCCTCAGCTTTTTGAAGATGTACGTCGACTTAATTTGTGAAAAACATCCTAGTGTTATTACCTCATTACACAGTGAATATATCTCCATGGAAGAAGGGTTTGACCTTAATTAACGCTAGAATGGAAATTTATTTGGAAGGAAATTGTTCCGTTTTTCCAAATTTGAATTCAATTGAAGATAGTCATTAGTTGTTACTTTTTTAATAGACATAATATTTTTGAATATTAAAATTGACGTAAGTATAGAAAATGTGTTATTTTATCTTTGTTTGTTACCTTATCTCAGTTTCGCTTCCAGAAAAAAATTGTTTCTCATTTTTCCAGAAAGAAGAAGCCTTACTTCTAATGATGAACATTTCGTACTATACTGATCAGTGGAATGGTGAAAAAGTTTGCAAACCGCTAAACAAGACGCTCTGGCGAATTTTTATTCGATTTTGCGATATTCAAACTTTTTTAAACCCCTTCTACTGTTCGGAATTATATAAAAAAATTTACCATAAGTCTTGAACGACAACTACTTTCAAAGAGAAAGAAAGAAAGGTTTTTTTTTAAACCAAAAAGGCTGTATATAAACATGTTTCCTGGTAAGTTGAGATACTTTACCGAACCAAGTTCAGACCAGGAAATCAGCTTGCTTTCAATAGAAGACAACGTAGAACAAATGTATATATTTGTAACCAGGGGACTAAACCGAAGTAAATTATTATGATTTTGATTAGTTTTATTAGCAACCAGCACACGAAAAAAAATTTACTTTTCAAATTTGATTAGTATTAACTCCGGCATTCTGTTCGTTTTTAGAAATCTTTCCACGCTCAACGCAAAATGCGATAGACTATTTAAAAAAATATATTTATTACGTATTCTAAGTGATTTTATATCTTGTTATGATTTTAGCTAAACTTTTATTTTTGAAATGTAAATTAATTGTTAATGTAATGTTATAATTCTTCTGTATCGTTATGAATTTGTAAATTCTTAAACAATAAAATAATTCATTCAAGTGAGAGACAATGATTTCTGAAGAACGGAGAATGAAAAATATACGCAAATTGTGCCAATCGTGTTAATCATTTTTAAGCCGAGAAGTTAAGAAGTTAATTAAAGTAAGATATTTTTTGTTTTAGACTTTTGTTTACTTACTACTTGTTAGTTGCTTATTATAAAAGAGTTTACAACAAATTAGAAAAATAATGGATCAATTTGGCCTTTGCATACGTTTTTGACATTAAAAATGTTAATAACCTTCCTGACCATGTTAGTCTATTTAGTAAATAAAAATTGAGAAACGTCCTTACGTATTGTACATCCTACCTTGGAACAATGACACATTTAGCAGGAAATCATGGCGTAAATACTATAATTATTGTATTTGTTGTTGATTCTACTTTAAATTCCTACCTTGTCTCTTATTTCTTGTCTCATTTTTTCTCTTTCCTCTTCCATCTTCCTGTGTTTTTCTTTTCTCCTTTCCTCCGCCTCCCGGATGGCTTCCTGCCGTTCTCGTTCGGCCTCCTCCTCCTTCTCTTTGTCATCGGCGTCATCATTGTCCCCTCCAACGGCACCTTGAAATAAACAATAAAAATAAATATATTTGACAAATTACCTCGTAATCTTTATTGTCGATCGAACAGGGCAAACTTATATACACAATAGTTTATTTTACATTGTTGTTAAAAAAATGTTAGAACTGGAATAAATACATGGATGTTGTATCGGTCAAAATCCATCAAATCCTTTCTCTTACGTGAAATGGGATCAGAGAGATTAGAGACGAGGGGTGTTTAATTTTGAATTCGTTTTCTCGGTACGTGTTTTCCAATTATCAACCAGTAGATAGATTATGGAAAGTCAATTTTACCATTGATGTTTTAATCAATTTTTCAATTGCAAACTGATTTGTCATTTCGTTTCTATTCAACCAATTAATTAATACTGCTAACTGTATTTGTACTTAGAGATCAAATCGGAGGCTAATCGCTATTTAGATCAATTATTCAACTCAATTTACATACATTTACATTTCTGTTTGCTCCTCTGTTTACTCCTGGCCCTGGCGAATGTCAATTCGATAAAATCGGGGCGAAAAATACTGAATTCAAAGATTCGACGATTCGGAATCGTTCGAAGCTCTAAGCCGCCCTCAGAGCTGTCAGCTTCTTCAGGACAGACTGTCATACTCAAACATGTCATCCCACGTTGTTTTGGTTTTGTCAATATCAGTTACGTAAATGATGTCAATCCCAGTCTCCCGTGACACGAGCAAAATGCTATGAGTCACGGTGATGGGTTATTAAGCGCTGATAGTTAAACATTAACAAAGAAGTAAAGTCAAGGACTTGTAGGAAAACCCGTTTTGGCCTAAGATAACATCTACTAATATTTACTTGGCAATGTTTATGAACATAATTCTTGATTTAATTTTAACACAATCATTAGAAAGTTATCTTTTTTCGCTTCAGTGCAACAAAACTAAAATCCTCTCTTCGAACAGCGTTCTCCTCACGATCCAGTTTTAAAACCTGAACGAAATATAAATCGTCCGATGGTTATCGAGACGGCTTTCAGGATTATTAAGCCACCTCGCTTTATGCAGTTTATTTGCAAGACAAATATGTACAGTAGACGCCTGGAGGAAGAGTCGGGGACAGGAAGCAGAGAGGCCGTTGATAGAAGGAGTCAATATTTACCGATGGAAAAGTTGCCCACTTGACTTTTCCGGCGAAAAGGATTTGATGCGCCCTAGTGACACGAAATCACCTGTGAAAATGTTTTGATTTAGCATTTAAACACGTCCCTCGAAGAATAAATTATTTCGAACGGAGAATATTACTCGACTCAAGAGCGTGTTTTGTTTGTTAAACAAACAAACCTCGTAAGGTGTAGAACGTAATTAATTAAACTCGTGTTTGAACTGGAAAGCGAGATTTAGCGTCGATGTCTATTTTATACCTAGAGCTTTGGGAATAGCTCCAACTCAGCCTTTGGTTTGAAAAATATAGCCTTAAGTTTTTTAATAGAAAAATCACAGTTATGTGTAATCAAATTCACTATTTTTTGTGGTACGCTTGACCAATTAATACAATTCAATTAATTAAGGTTTTAGGTTGAGATAAAAAAGTCAGTGTCACGAGCGGGATTCGAACCCACGACCTTCGCCTTGATACGCCGCTACTCTACCACTTGAGCTATCGTCACCTCGATCCACTCGGACACCAACCTCCCATCTCAACCCCACCAATTTTCCCTCCTATTTGTCATTTTTCAAATGTCGTGTAATCGGATTGGATTCTCGGCGACAAATGAAATGGCCACGGAGAGTTTTAGTGAAGTGTACTTTCAATTCATTAAATTCACTATTTTTCGTGGTCCGCTTGACCAATTAATACAATTCAATTAATTAAGGTTTTAGGTTGAGATAAAAAATGTTATGTGTAATAAAAGCACTACATGTAAGCAAGCAACAAAACAAAAAAAAATTACGGTGTAGCTGTAAATTTTAATTATCCTATTGTACAAACTTTATATCAATAATTTATCCAGAAATTTTAATGATACACAGAATGGTAAAAAATACACAATAGTGTGACTGCTTTCAATCATCCTGGTCGGCTATTCTTCTCTGTTTTCTTTCTCTTGCGTTACGCTTTTATAACATTATTTGTGTGTTATTTTGTCATTTATATCAGTTTGATTTTGTTTGTGGAATGTGAAAAAGCAAAAGGACGCCATTGTACTCTATATATTGATCGGTGTCTTTGATTTATCACATAATAAAATCTAAGTCGTCAATTTTCTTTTGATGTTATGTAATAGCTTTTATTGCGCGATCTTTAATATTTTATTGAATTTAGAGAGGTTTTGGTTTTTAGTCGGGTCGTTACGATCGTTTGGGTCGCCTATCGTAGAATAAGTTTAAGTTATCAGTTATTTTCTTCGTGAAGTTACATAATACTTTTTATTGTGAGAATTGTGAGTTTATATGTTTTATGTGTTGGATGTTTTGTATCGCCTACGTTTAATCATTATATCAATTGTATCATTATATCAATTTATATCATTATACCATTATATCAATTTTTCTGTGTCACGGGAAAACTATCAAATAAATAGTCTGAAAATTTAAGGATTTGTTGTTTGTGATTTTCCCCATTCGACCAAATTTATTTGATTTCTTCTTTATATCATTAGTTTAATTCTGCCGAATGTATTTTCCCCGCATTTACAGCTAATGTTTTCTCTATGGTATTCGTTGAATTAAAGGGATTTTGGTCCAGTTAAGCTAATTTTGCGTTATTTTTCTGCGTCACATGGAATCTTTCAACTAGTATTAAAAGTTAGGATTTTACAGTTTTCTTGACTTTTTCTTCATCCTACCAATAGATTTTATCATTTCCCTATTCTCAGCTATTGTATGCACACTGAATCTGTGAATTGGTTTAATTTCCAATCTATCCAATGGCATCCAGTGTGGTTAGAGAGATTTCTGTCTCTGGCTAGGTCGTTTCAGATCGTCTAGTCCGCCCAGCCTTGCAGTTCTGGTCTATTAGGCGCATTTCCCATTTTCGTTGTGTTATTTTGTAATTTAAGTGTGATTTCATTTTTCGATCGTGAAGTGGATACAAGGAAGCTAATACAGTTTAACTCCTGTCCTCCCTCTGCAACTTTTGTGGGGGCGTTTTTAGGAAATCCCCAAGACACGTAAACTTTTTTTTTGTCGTTTCGCACGAACCAAAAGTTTTGATATATCTGCAGGAGAGCCGGATGGCAATAGGAGCTTAATTTTTTCAAATGGAAAGATCAATCCACTCTTTTGGAAGTTCGTTTTAATACTGAATTCGATATTTAAATAGTTTTTAATTTGGAACCACATTTCTTAAGTTGTTGATAAAAGACGATTTACGAACATTATTTTCCAGAAAAACCAAGTCTTCTCTAACGTCTTCAATCAATAATCAATTTATTTATTTATCACTTTAATTGATGGTAAATTAAGTCGTAATGGTAATTTCGTAACAATTTCCCCAAATAAGATCATAAAAAATCACCAGTTAATATGCAAATTATTATGTAATTGTGTTTTTAAGTGTTTTGTAATTTTAGGCGTCACTATACTTTTCAAGCTTTACAGTTTTACCAATTTTCGATATTTTTCAGCGTCAGAAAGAAACGTTCAACTAGTCTGAAAAATGTATGGATTTAATATGTTGTTGAATTTCTTCCTTATATTTTCTGCTATTGAATATACACCGTTCTGTAATGTGGGTGAATCTTTAATCTTTCCTATAGTAATGTGTGGTGTTTATTGACCGTTAGTTAATGAATAATTGGAGATCGTGAGATTCGGTTTGATGTGGCGTAGGTTTTTTTTTACGAGGGTTCGCAACAGCAGAGGACACTCCCCCGGGTGCCCGCGTTTTTAAAATAAGCCCATTTGTAAGTATGTCGGGTTCGAATGAAGGGCCACTGGATTCGAACCCGGGACATTTACCTTACAGTGATGAGCGCCGTGTCAACGCCTAAACCGTTGCGGCCACCCCCCACCCCCCAGACGTAGGTTTTAGGAAAACATTTTCTTTATCATGCCAACGTTTCGATCTTTATAGAGATCATCATCTCCATAAAGATCGAAACGTTGGCACGATAGAGAAAATGTTTTCCTAAAACCTACGTCACACCAGACCGCATCTCACGATCTGCAAATAATCTTTCCTATAGTATTTGCAGTGTTTGACTTGTTTTTGTTTGTAGTCGTCGTTTACGATCGTTTTGCCCGCCTGCCTGCTGTTTTGGTCCATCGGATTGCGTTTCCCATTTTGAAAAATTTTGCCCATGTAATTTATTTTGTTCAATGTGAAAGAGGTAAAGGCATGAATGCGTATTGTCTTTTTTCTTTCGGCGTATTTGGTTTATCATAGAATAAGTTTAAGTCCTTAATTTTATTTTTATGTTATCTAATTTTTTAATGTTACGTTTTTCGGAGTTTGTGTTGTGTACGTGCATGCCTTAAGCTATTGTTGTTCCAATTTCCGATATATTTCAGCGTCGCGGGGAAGCTTATAACTAGTTCGAAAAGTTTAAATTTTGTTGTGGTTTTGATTTTTTCGCCAGTTTACAAAATAATTTTATGTCATCCTTGTATTCGGTATCTGTTAACTGGTTTAATGTGTAATATTTCCACTTTCTAATTAGAGATTTTAGTCAGTAGTTTGGTCGTTGAGGATCCTCTGGCCCGCGAATTCTCGCTGGTTTCCGCTTTTTGAAAATTTTTGACCCTTATCATTTGAGTCCGTTTCGTTTACCGACAGAATAAGCTAGTCGTCAATTTTTTTTGTTAAGTAATTTTTTTAATATGCGAATTGGGTCGGTTTTATGTTAGGCTTACATAATATATAAGAGAATATTCTGAAAAAATCGTCTACTTGAAGGGTTTTGTTGAATAAAACGGTTTAAAATCCTGTTCGTTTCTTATCGTGTGATAATACAATATATACAACATCTAGGGCGTATTAAAAGACCTTTCATTCCGCTTCAGAATTTAACTCAGATGAAGGGGAGGTCCGAT